GCCGCGGCGCCGAGCAGCGCCTCGACAATCAACCGCGCGACAGCCGCCTCGGTGTCCTCGGAGCCGCCCGGAGGCCGGGCCTGCACCGGCTCGGCCGCGGCGGAGGCCGAGCCGGGCGCCTGCGCGGCGGCCGCCACGTCGCGCCCCCGCAGCTGCAGGGCCACGTCCTCCGGCTCGAGCGTCTCGAGCATGTGCTTGAGGAAGGTCCGGAGGAGGAACACGGCGCCGCACGCCTGCTGCATCTCAGTGTCGGTCGCCGCCGATCTTGTGGCGCGGCCGAGCCGCTCGGCCATCGCAGCCGCCAGCGCCCCAAAGTTGCCGCTGCGTGGGTTGTTCCGCACCAGCTCCGCACAGTACGCTCTCGAGATGGCGGTGACGTCCTCCACAGAGCTGCCGGCGGGCAAAGAGACGGCCGACGCCAGCAGCTCCTGCCAGAAGCGATCGTCCGATGGGATGGGCTCTCGGCCTGTGAGCCGGTCCAGCAGGGGCGCTGTCGGCTGCTTGGCAGCGCCGGCGCCCATGCTGACGGTTTTCTTTTTTTGTTTGTAGGGAAGGTTTCGCGGGGTACGGGCGTAGGAGGTTGGGGGTTGGCCTCCCACAAGAGACGTCCGTTACACGCCCAAATGGAGTGGTAGGGGAGTAGGGGGCGACCACCCAAGTCCCAACCGCAACCTCCCGCCGATGATAGAGGGAGCGGACCCTGAGTTGAGGAAATCGGGGGACGCGACCCACTTCGCCACAGACGGTCCCGCGCCTCGCCGCTATGACGGCCACACGACCGCAGCTCGTGTGCGTGTGGCCGTCTTTGTCCGGAGTGAATACTCCAACGCGCTCGTCGGTGACGGCGTCCCCCGATTTCGCCGCGCTCGGCGAACCTCGACAGCGCTTTCGGTGGCATGCAGCTCTTTGCGCCTGAAGCCTGGAGAGCAGCTCCTCTGCTGCTCATACGCTCTGCACAGTTGGCACAGCCTACTGTGCGGCTGCCACAGCTGTGACAGCGATGGGCTCGCCCTCACTGGCCCTCAGTCACTCGTGCTGCGGCTTGTGTGAGCGACACTGCTCGGCGACTGCCGGCACACTGTGAGACCATGGGTGTGAGGTAAAACCACGCTACCAGCGCTTGGTCACATCAGCCCTGAGGTCATATCCTTCTCCTCTGTTGATGGTAACACTTGTCTACTCGCTGGAGCCGAGCAGGAGGGCTTGGCGCACAACCCCTGTTCAACTCAGGGTCCGCACCCCGTACCCTACGTCCCTACCGCGTCCGCTACCCCCTACCGCTACCCCCCTCAGCCTCACGCCTGCCCCAGCGGGGAGGGCGGCGGCGGTGCAAACTAGAAGAAAAAACGCGGGGTTTCTG